ATGGTGGGACATTGTCATACAACTCGGCAGAACTAGAGGATGGGGCGGTGGGGCAAGAAAAGAAAAAGAAAATTAACAATAGGCATCCCATGTGTACAAGCAGATTTATTTATGAGCATATGAGAGACACCTTCAGAGAGTTCCAAAAATACTTGTCAGAGATTGGGGTTACCCTGCAAAAATTCAGGACAAGAAGCAACAAAATTCCAGTTAACGCTTGCAGCCGATATGACCTGAGAAAACATGAGAAAACATGAGACACAGATATGACCTGGGGTATCTCTCTGCTCATCCCAAGTTTCTTTTTTTCCCCACTACCGGCTAATTTCCAGTAAAGACTCAAAGCTGAAAAACATTTTTCCAAGGCATGTAAATGTCTTCAGCAAGTATCAGGAGTTCCCAACAGTACATAGCTGCAAACTACAGCCACCTCTTGTCTGTGTGTAGTCTGCTTTGAATTTGGGGTAGGAGAGGAGCACAGTTATGGGTTATGGCTCCCAGGAAGGACACAGTGGGTCAGACCGCCATTGTGGAGCCAACTGGCCACCCCCGTGGGCTCCCATTCTCCATCTCTTCCCACTCATCCCCTACAGACCCGCATTCCCGGGTGGTCCTGAAACACCACACAGTCTTGAGGCTGCTTTGGAGTGTGGCTGAGCAGACCAGCCGTTTTTTCCCCAGGGATAATGACAACACACCCTTCTATCATGCCTTTCAGCCAAGGAGCCAAGGGTCTTAACTTCAATTGCTCAACTAAAGGCTATTTTTCTGGGCTGCAAGTCCTTGTCCAGTGTGAATACGCAGAACGGGGCCAGCAGTGCAAGTGCATTGATGCAGTTCCAAGGAGGCCATGTGCCCTAGCTCTTTGCAAAAGCCCATCTGGGTTTTATTTTGCAGAGGCCACGGCTCTTTTCTGTGTAACTAGGGAGTGTTTGGGAGACTAACTCTCAGCTTACAAATAGGAGGCCTCGGGGATGGAGCCTGAACTTGACTGGGGTCCTGGGTTTGTCACACAGGCGACATCAGCCTGACTTCACCCTAAGCTGCATTTGGTGTCTGGGTTGGTGTTGCCAGCTGGGCTGGGTCAGATCTTATCTCCCCACCTAACTTGGTGGTCTCCCAGTTGAAAAATCAGAAAAGGAGCTGGCCTGTTCTCTCAGGCCCACTTCGCTCTGAAATGGCCAAGCCAGAACTACGTTTTTCCCTTGGCTCTATCTGGATCATGCCACCTCTGTGAGCGCCAGGGGCCCACGCAGTACACCCACCTCACCAGTGCCTGTGCACACACTCCTGTGGGCTGTGTCATGTCCACGTACATCTTTTTAATTCCGTTCCTTTATTGAATTTGGCAGGTCCCTTTCAATGTTCTTTGAAAACCATAACCTTAATCTGAAAATACTTAAGGAAACAAAATAAAGTTCTATTTTTTAAAGCATTTTGGTTGACATGGGTACATAGGAAGGAAAGGGGGGACCTGATTCAGTAATAAGGCAAATCCACAGCATCATGATCCCCAGAACACCGGGACCCAGGGGACTGGGACTGCAAGGTACCACGGGCACTGGCTGCGAGCCAGCATGTTGGAGCCGGCAGTGTTTTTAATCCGCTTTCTGGCTGGGTTGATTGAAGACAAGCTGTTCTAAAACAATAAGCAGCAGCCATGTGGGGGTCTTGCCCTGTTCTTGTCTGACTCAACTCCCATTCGGGCATCAGCTTAATTTAGTGCAGAAAAAGGGAACATGAAGGATTGGCATTCATCGTTAGGCAGCTTTTTTCCTCAGATCCTGCCGGGAAAGAACGCAAGCCAGAAGCCAAGTCCTATGAGGACACTGGTCTCTGACCAGGCAGGGTGACAATGACCCCCTCTGAAAGAACAGCTTTGAGAAATGGCCACTCTATTCAGGCTCTGTGATCTCGCTTTGTTTTGTGTAACTCACTCCTGATTTCTAGGTACACCTCAGCTGCTCCTCAAAAGAAGGCCTGTCTTCGAACCTGGACCAGGAGGGAGTAAAGGTGGAATCTGTGGTCTTTCCCAAGCTTTAGTTAGAGTTTTTTAAAGAAATGTCTGTTAGAAAGCAATCTGGAATAAGTTGGAGGACAATGATGAGCACAGGTAGTGGGGATCTTCCCAAGGACTCATTGCCCAGGGCTGAGGAAACACAGCCAACCTCCAGGGTCTGAGCTGCACAGCTCCCACATAGTTACGCATGGAGTCCCCCTGTTCTCTCACCTAGAAGGACTCATGGCATGGTTGAAGTTAGATGGTTTCTGTTGTAAGAACACCTCTGCGCAGCTCCACCCGGACTGCCATGAGTTTCAAAAATGCCAGTGTGGGCAGGATGCCTAGCCAGGACAAAGGTGCTCCCCACCTTCCGCTTGATTCTCATGTAGCTTCCAGTCAGCTCAGACTTATCTTTGAGCTCCTAGAAAACAGTCTGGACAAGAGTGGACAAACCTGAGGTCCCTCCTCATTGTCTTTTGATTGGCTCAAGAGAATTCTGAGAGTCACAGAGGATCAGACTTTGGTGTAGCTTGTTGGGTGGGAGGCACCTGATTGATTCAGGAGAGTCTATATGAGACCGTGCACTCCTACTTCTCTGTCAGTGTCAGGTCCTGGGACTGGATTCCTCTTCAAGCCCCTCGAGTTTCTTGTGTGTGTATCAATGCAGGGCTCCTCCATAGGGAAGGAGGCCATGATGAGTTCTTTTGTCCTGAGGCCTGAGAATCTGGGCTCATGAAGCCCTTCTGGAGTTGGGGAGAGCTCATTCTTGGAGATCAGACAGAACTTTTATAGGATGGAGGTCAGTGTGTGGATGCTTCCTGGATCCGGTTTGAGGGCCAAGATGCTCATGTGAAATCCTGGGCCAGCTGCTTAATGACCCCACTGCCAGGAAGGAAGGGGTGCCTCAAAGATGTCCCTTTGATCTTCCCAGACCCTCCAAGGCTGGCAGTGTCACACAGCCTTGCTCATCTTGGCAGAATTCCTCTCAGAAAGTGGCAATGCCAGTTTCCCCCCAGGCTCTGGGTTTTAGCAGGTTCAGGTGGAGATCCCTCTCAAGCTCTCCACAACAATCCACACTTTGATGGAGAGACCAGCTACGCTGGCCTAGTACCTCCCTCAGTCTCATCCTCCGCCTCTTACAGGCTGATGACCTTGAAGGCTACCACCTCCTTGGAGCGATTGCCATCTTCCTGGACACCTTTCCCAACCTGTCCAGGCTTCGAGGAGAGTTCTCAGGACTTACCTGGGAATTCTGGTGGGCAAATTCCCCCCAGGACACCGAGTCCTCCCACCGCCAACAGACCACCCTCTCCACAACCCCAGGAAACACTTCGATTCCTCCTGGGATGCCCTGGGTAGGGGTAGCCTGGGGTGTTCAGATGGTGGAATCAACAGGGGTAGAGAGGTGTAGCTACATAGTTGGCCCAACCTCTAAGACCCACTGCTTACAGTACGTCTTTGTGCTAACCATTAATCCAGGGCTATGATTCTGTAATCTATTCCCACGGGCCCTAAATGAAGGAACAACCTCCCAGCACACAGGTATGTACCAGGGGTTATTCTCCTTGGGGGATAGGATTCGAGGCAAGCTGCCTTATACTAGCTGTGTGACTTGGGTCAAGTCAAGTCCCTCCTCTATTTCTTTACCTGAAAATAATGAGTGAGGAGAGTAGAATAATTCAATTTTGCCAACAAATCTCTAACATCTACCTGCTCTAAATTCTGACTTTAACTGGTTGAAAGTAGAACCAGTATCCTTTGTTGTTGTTGTTGTTGTTGTTTGTTTGTTCGTTTGTTTGTTTTGCGAGACATAGACCAGGCTGCCATTGTGTGGCATGCACAGAGCCCACCTCTCATCTGGTTAGGGAAGTCCCCTAGCCGCGGGGGCAGGACTCCTCTTTAGAGCTGGCACTTTCCATTTAGGTCTGGGCACAGTTCCAGCTTGAGGCTCTTAGCTGAACACCCACCCAAATTCCCTAGTTTAGGGTGGCTGGTGTGTGGGGGGGAGTATCCTATGCCTACTGATAATCAGAGCTCTGTGAGAAAAAGTACTAGCTTTGAGAACAGCCAGTTCTACAGCTGGCAGCTACCGAAAGGAGTTCCCACCCAGATAGGGTCTCTCGGTCAAACTAAAGCAGAGGGGAGAAATCCCCAGTCTGTGTTTTAGGTGGGAACTTCTATTAGTGAAGAGCAGTGGCCCCCATCAAGGAGCCTACAGCCCTTCAGACAGCCCTTGGGCAGCCTGCTGAGCTTGATTATCTTTTTCAAGGTCCCAGTCTGTGCCCACCGTAGACTCTTCTTGCTTGGTGTGGCCACAGCCTGTTCAGCTGAGCAGTCAGGCCAGGGAGTGGTGTCCCTGCAGGAGTCCCTGAGGATAAACGGAGTAGGCCCTCTTTTCCTGCGGGGCAGAAATGAGAGCCAGAGGCAGACTGAAAGCCCGCCCTGCTAAGCCAAGAGGAGGTTGGAGCCATATGAAGCGCATTAACTATTAATAATTTCCAGTTGTTTGCTCGCTGGGTTCGGCTGGCTCCCCAAGCCTCCGCAGGCCGGGGCTCCGCTCTGGCTTCCACAGACCTCCAGGGCTCGAGATAGTAGCGCCTGCCGGGCCCTGCTGGGACAGGGCCAGGGGACAGGAGCCGTCAGGACCCCAGGGCGAGTGGGGTTCCGTGTCCACTTGCAGCCGGGCAGGGGCCAGACAGGGTACTCGCCGAGGACAGCCCGGCGCCCCAGGCGCGCTGCGATCGGCAGCTTGGGGTGAGCTGAGCTGCCCGGCGGAGCGCAGCAAGGGCGGCTCACCGCAGGAGCGCAGCGGCCCCTGGCGCCCGGCCTCGCC